GGGTGCCTCTAGGTTCTGTGTGAAAGACACATGAAAAGGGCCCGAGTGGCTGCAGGGAGACCATGGAGGAGACACAGGACAGCTGTCCAGGGGATCCTGGGGAGAGAGGGTGGAAGCTGGGATGAAGATAGGGAGTGTGGAGGGAGAGAGAAATGAAGGTTAGAGAGAGATGGGCAGGTGGATTTCCGGGCTATGGGGAAGTTCAAGGACAACTGGCGGGTTTCCAGCCTGAGCACCTGGAGAGGTGCTCAGTGCACAGAGAGGGTGGTGGAATTGGGAGGGCAGAACAGGAGTTCCACACGTGAGACGACACTAGTTTACCATCAGCTGCTGGCCCCATCCCATTTCACAGATGGAGCAAGTGAGGCCTGAGGAGTGCAGGGGTTCACCCGGGGCCCCCCATCATGCTCCAAACAGAAGGGGATGGGACTTCGGGAATCCTGTTGCCTACCCAGAACACTTATATCCAGGGGGCCCACTGGCTCCAGTCTCAGAAAGCCAGTTTTTTAGGTGGGAGTTTTTTAGGGTGGGGTTTTGAGGCTGATGGATTTATTCCAGGCTAGAGGCCAGTTCACAGTCCCCAGAGGACAGTGTCTCTGTTTTATGAGGGCAGCCTGCGCCCTGACTCCGACCAGCCACCCTGTCCGGGTCTGGCGGGCTAACTTGAGGGCAGGAGGGTGGGGGGCACCCACGTCAGAGTGGCCGACAAGTTGGAGGCTTATCTGTCTCCCAGATTTGCCATTAACCAGACCAGGGTCCAGATCCTGAGCTTTCCCCTCTTTGTCCTGTGACCTCTTTCCTTGTCATCTGACCTTGGGCAGGGCACCTCCTTCTCGCCCGTCTTTATTCAGTCTTCTCATTTGTAACATGGGGACATCCCAAAGTATGACTTTTGTGCCCTCAGGATTGTAAGAGAACAGATGGATAAAAAAGTACCTTGTAAACTGTAAAGTGCCTTAACTTCTATTTTGGCTCAGTGTTACCTCTGCGCCAAGCCACCGCCCAGTGGGTTTCTAAGGCTTTGCTCCCTGACCAGACAGTCACCCCTCTGGAGAGGGAAAGAGGTCTGGTATGGAGTTCAGGGATGCAGAGATCTTATCACTCTGGCCTGGGAGGCTTGATAAACCCATTGTGCAGGTGGAAAAACTGAGAGGCAGCCCTCTGCTTAGAGCACTCAGACTGTTAATCTTAGCTTCAAAGGCAGGGCTCTCTGATTCTACAGATGAGAAAATTCCTTATTCATTTAGTGACCTGATAGGACAGATAAGCCAGAGGGGAAGCAACCTACCCAGGGTCATGTGGGTAGTCAGCAGCAGCGGGTAAATGCCGCTGGAGGTCCCTGCCTCCCCGGGCCTTGCCCCTCCCACCACTCCATGCCCACCAACCCCTCAAGCACGAGAAAGGAGCTCCCATCATGGTGAGCTAGACGTAGTCATGTCACTGGCAGACTTTCCACCAGCATGGAAGGACCCTGCACCTCTGCTCCCCAGAGCGGCCTCTGAGGGGCTGAGGCTTCGCTGACACATAGCTCTGTGGTCACTCGTGGGACGTCTCCTGGGGGAGACCACACGCCACCCCCCACCATGGACAGGTTAGGGCAGAAGTCAGTTAATCAGAAAACTAATTAAGAAGTCCACACGATTCAAAGAGCAGAACGTTCTTTTGGAATCTCTTGGTGGCCTCAGGAGAAATTTCTTCCTTGATCGGCTGGATAGTGAAAGCAGGGGCCGGCCGGGTGGCGCCAGAGTACGATGCTAGATACCACTCCTTGAGCACTTAGTATGCTCCAGGCACCTTTCCCAGAGCTTTCCACATCAGAACTCACTTAGCACTGACAGCGAGGCTTTGAGATCTGATTATCCTCATTGTATGGGGAAGGAAACCAAGGCACAGAAAGGTAGCATCACTTGGCCAAGGATGCACAGGTCTTGAGGCACAGAGCCCGGGCGGAAATTTGGTCTGTCCAGCTCCTGAGCCACATGACTGACCACTTTGCCACACTGGCTCGCGGGCTACCGGAGACCGGAGGTGCCGCGCCCAGAGGACCAAGACCAGCCCAGCAGAGGCGGCTGGAGTACACAGCAGCGGCCAGGCTCAGCACGATTTCTGAGGGGACAAAGCCTGTGGCCGGTGCAGAAGCAGCAAGCAGCCCAAACTGTCCCAAGACGAGTCCAAAATGTCAGCGTGGCCCCAAGTCCTGACTCTGCCACTTGCTGCGTGGCACTTCAAGTGTCTGTTTCCTCCTCATTAAGATGGACTGAACTTGGTATTGGCCTCACAGGACTGTTGTGAAGGATCCAGGGAGCCCTGGAAAGCGTCTACTGTGCTTAGTCCCGAGCTAGGCACAAAGAAATTGCAGACGAAATGTTAGCTATTAATATTATTATTTATTATTTGTATATGTCATTATTCATCATTAGATTTCATTTCTGCATCCCCTCTCCCCACCATGCACTGCTGGATGTAGACAAGGTGTTGGGGTTTGGCTCTTTTTAGAGACAGGGGTTTGGCTCTTTTTAGAAAGCACAAGATGGCTTTGGGGAGCCCTCCCTTGCAAGGATTCCGGAGCCATCCATCCCCCTCCCCATCCCCCCTCTTCCCTTGCAGAGTCTGTATTCTCCTCTCTCCAAAGTTAGTTTCCATCCTTGCACCCCAGGTGCCCTGGCTCCCTGCCTGTGGTCCCCACTGGTTGGATGCCGTTGCTATAGCAACAGCATTTTAAGAGCCTTCAGCACCCCTGCTCTGAGGCGACAGGCATGGATAGAGGTGGGCTCAGCAACTGCCTCCTGCATCCTCTGGCCAGTGTGGATGGAAGGCAGGAGAGTGGAACACAAGAATGAGAGCTGGCCTGGGCTGGGGGGCCAGCCCAGCTCGGACCCCAGCTCCAAGCGTTGCCCCACCATACCCCACCTCACCTTGTCATAGGAGAAACACCTGAGCTCTTGATTACAAAGGCAGATTCTAGCCCTGCCTTGGCTCCAAGGCCCTGATTTTAATTATCTGGGTGGGACCCCCTAGGAAGCTGCCTTTGATCAGCTCTGCTCAAGGCTCTGAGGCAGACAGGCCACAGACCGCACGTGAAAAAAATCTGCAGTCCTAGAAGATTGCTGAAGCCATCTTGGGCATTGAGGTTTGTGTTACTTTCTTTGCTGAGCCGTCTCCAAAGAAACACTCGCCTCGTTCCCCTAGGCATGCTCCAGTCCCGTCTCCCTCTCTTTCCAGAGCTGAGCTGAGTACCCACCCTCTGCCCAGAGTCAGGAAAATTCCAGGGCCAGGCCCCCAGAGGCCACCTTGTTAATGCATTCTAGATGGAGATGGGGGGTTCACCCTTTCCCAGCAAAATGACCTTCAGCGGAGGCGCTAGCCAGGGTTATTCGGGGTGATGTGAAAGCCTGGCGGTCTTCTAGATACTCAAGAAGAGGGGTGCCTGGGTGGCTCAGTGGGTTAAGCCCCTGCTTTCGGCTCAGGTCATGATCTCAGGGTCATGGGATCAAGCCCCACACCGGGCTCTCTGTTCAGCAGGGAGCCTGCTTCCCTCTCTCTCTCTGCCTTCCTCTCTGCCTACTTGTGACCTCTGTGTGTGTGTGTGTGTCAAATAAATAAATAGAATCTTTAGATACTCGAGAAGGGACAGGCAGGGCTAGGTAGGGAGAGATAGGTAAGGAGCTACATGATTAGGCTCACAGAAATCCCAGAAATGCTGAGGCCTAACAAAACCAGAAATAAGGGAACAAAGCAGACTACCTTGCCCTGGGCATCAGACGTGGGGAATCTTTTTATGACAGTCACATTGTGACCAGCAAAGAATAACTTGACCCCAAAGAAGAAGTAAGCTATTCAAGATGTTATCACCAGTCCTTACTTAAACCAAGACAGCACAAGAATGATAAGGCCACAGGCCCCCTAATCAGTCCTAAATAAAAGAGTGTCAGTGGGGACCCACGTCGGCCTCCCTGTCAGGACCCCTCTCACTCCTGAGATTCTTTTGTCTGTGTTCTTGTTTAGTAAAACTCCACCGCATTACTCATTCTCCTTTGTCCCCAAGATTCATTCTTCAACTCCGTGGGACAAGAACTTCACTCTCCCGCTTCACCGTGAGATCAGAGGGGCCTGTCCCCCTGCTGGATGGAGATGTGGTCTCCCCACTCTCACCCACCCCAACCACCAGCACGATGCTAAGACACTGGACACCAGAAGCGGTGCCTAAAGCGGGGCGGGGGGAGGATCTGGGGTGGGAGGAGTGGAATTCATAGAGTCTGAAATGGGTGGGGTGGAGAGGAGAAGACAGAACATCATAGGGGGAGAGGGTTTTCTCTGGAGCACCCAGGGAGAGGACAAGACCCCATGGGGTTCCTGGAGGGTGAGAGGATGGCCTTTTCTGTGGGAGGAGCCCTTGAGAGCGAGAGAGAGCTTTCCTCGCCCTTTCTCCTTCTGGGATCCACTTTGCCCCAAGCCAGCCCAGAGAATAAACAGTCAGCCAGTACTGATTCACTTGACAACACACCCTTTATTCCCCTCCCACACTCACCTCCCTTCTCCTCCACCACTGGTTCCTGAAATCACAGCCAAATAAACAGGCACCGGGATCCCCGTCCCGGATCAGAAGCCACGCCCGAATCCCCCCACTTCTGGCAACTGTGTCCCGTGGGCCCCCAGGGGAAGCTTATGTACCCCTGCACTCCCGGTGGGTGTCTGGCTTGCCTAAGACTAAGACCTCTGGAAGGGTCTATACCAACAGCTCTTTCCACCATGGGCCCCAGGGGTTGTGGAGTCAGTCCTGGGCTCCACCGTGTCCTGCCTTACCCTCCATTCTCACTATTCTGATGATGAGTCACGTCTTCCTAGAAGTTTCTGGGGCAGGGAACAGGTTCAGCTTCTTGCCCTCTCCCAGCGTGGGCCAAACACACAGTGAGTGCTCAGGAGCCCCAGCCCGGGCTCTGCAGCTCCCTCCTGTCGCTGGGCCCCTCCCCAGCCACCCACAGGGCGGATGCCATTGGTGGAGGTCCTAGCTAGAGGGAGTCAGGGGGACTCGTCTGGGGTGAGTCCTCTAGAGACGTCTGTGAGTCTGTCCCCTCCGAGGAGAAGCTGCCCCCAGTAGTGTGGGGGGTCTCACTCTGCCTGAGGAGTCGCTGCCGGGAGAAGAGGGGGTCAAAGAAGGGCTCAGGGGCTGGAAACCGAAAGGGCTCCTGGGGGCCTTTGCTTTCTTCAGCCTCTACGACCCGACCAGCTTCCTGGGGCAGAAAGCCCGCCTGCACATTTCTGTTCTGTCCCTCTCTGGGGGCCCGAGGCCAGCAGGGATGTGGTAAACGGTCCAGGCCTGGTGAGTCCGAAGGGGGCAGGCCCCACCTTCCTCTGGAAGCGACGTCTCCATTCGGAACCTGGCCTTTGGCAGCGGCCCTTCTGAGTTCTGGGGGTGCTGAGCAGGCCTTGGGCCCCTCTGGGCATGGGCAGTGGGCCAGGGCCTTCTTCAGAAGGGTCTGGATCTCCTCGTGCCTCACCCGGGCCTCCTCCCACAGGTCCTGGCCCAGGCCCTCCTGGCTCAGGGAGGCCACCTGGAGCCCCATGGCCGTGAGCTTCTCTGCGGGGAACTCCGAGGCCAGGCGCTGCCGGTAGCGGTCGAGCCGGCGCCGGTCTCCAGGGCTGGCCCTCTGGGCCTTGCCCAGCCTGAGCTGCCTAATCAGGTCCTGGCAGTCTGTGTGAAAGCCGGTCATCTGGGGGCAACAAGAGAGGGAGGTGGGGTTCAGTCTAGGAGCAGGACATGAGGACAGGGAGGCCCATCTCCAAGCAGAGAGGAAGTACGGCTGGGTTGTTCATAAGAAGGGCCCAGTCAATGTCCTGGCCTCCTGCGCGTGGCCCTGGGTGTCTCTGCTGCCAGCGAAGACAACGGGTCCCCTCTCTTCCCTGAGGTAAATATACCTGCCGTCCGCAAACGGTCCTCAGCCCCCCTTGGAGCCTCAGGCATGATCTCCTCCCCACCGGGGGCCCACAAAGGCTCACCCCTTGCTGAGGCTCTGCCTTTCCTTCTCAAGAAGGGGAGGTGGTACTAGCAGATCATTCGGGTTCTCGGATTGTGGAAACACTGTCTTCACCCGTTCTGAGTGGCACGGAGGGAGGCATCTCGTGGGTATTTATTGAGCACCGACTGTTTGCCAATCTCTGTGTAGCTCATGTATGATTGCACTGAACAGTACCAGCAGCCCATTTTATAGAGGGGGAAACCAAGGCTCAGACACTTGCCCCAGGTCACGCGGCAAATCAGGAGGGAGCTGGGACTTGAACTCAGATGCGTCTAGCTTTCCACAGATTTATCTCTCAAGCCCGTCCTTGCACGACGGAAACTGGTCCAGCGACGGCAGTGCCCACACACTCACCAGCGAGACCACCAGCCGACCCAGGCCCAGGGGGGAGGGGGTGTCCACTCAGCTGGGCCTCTGCCTCCTTTTGGGATTCTGCTGTCCCTACTTCACCCACAAAATGTCTGCAGGCTGCAAAGGAGCCAACACGTTCCCAGCAGCTCGTGAAAAACATAATCTTTCTCTCCATTAATTTAGAAGCCGACAGCGAGCTGTTAGCTGTGGGGATTGGGGAACCGTTTTCTCCAAGGAAACCATCTTTCCGTGGATTAAGGGAACTTGTCTTTAGATAAATGGCTTCATATTCGCGGCAGCACACGGAGCTCATGGCTGGGAAAGGGCTCCATAACTCTCTGTTAGGGGCACAGTTGTTTTATTATTACTTAGTGCCAAAGCTGCCGGACGCACGCTCTCAGCCTGGGGCTGAGCCCAGCCCAGGGCTGTCTTCGTCTGTCTGTCCGCCTGGCTGGGCCTCCATCTTCCAGGCTGGGCTGGGCAGGGATGCGCAGCACCTTAGCCATCATCTTACCAACCCGTTGGGTGTGTGGATTAGGATTCAGGCCCAGAGAGGAGCACGGGCCTGCCCAGGTCAAACAGCGAGATGGCCGTGGTGGGATTCCAAGTCAGGCTCCCACCTCTTGTAGGATTTCCAGGCCTGGGGGTACAGGGGGAGCTCTATCTTCCCACACGCCCCCCTGCCCCCCAGTCTTCCTTCCTCCGCCTTACTCCTCACTCTCCCTCTGGCCACTTGACCCCTATGGGGGCCTGCCCCACCCCAGGAACCTGGGAAGGATGAGGGCACAGTCCTGGGGCTCACCTCCCCGGGGGGTGATGAAGCCACAGGATCATTCCAGATCACAGTGAGCACCTTGAAGTGAGACTAACAGGGTGACTGGAGAGATGGCGGGGGGAGGGGGCAGACAGCCAGGCGGGAGGCAGGGGACATGTGAGCTGAGCGCTGAAGACAAGAAACCAGCAGGTCTCGAGGAAGAGCGAGTGAGAAGGCGCAGAGTCGCTGTGAGTCTGCTCTACAGGGCTGATTTGGGCTGAAATTAGTAAGCAAGGGAGAGAAGCTGCCAGATGCCCTCAACCCATGAGGCATTACCACCGCTCCTACTGCTACTAATGATGATCGTATTGGTGTCGATAATAATAACACCAAATTAGAATACAGCCCCGGGGGCGGGGGAGGGGAGGGTTACTTACATTTCATTTCCTCCTCTCACTACCCAGCGAGGCTGGCCGCAGAGCGGGGGGACCTGGGTTGGAATCTCAGCTCTGCTACTTCCCCCAGTGTGACCCTGGAGGAGTTGTTTTGACTTCTCTGTGTTTCCTCATGCATAAAATGGGCATAATCATAGCACCTGCCTCCGAGGGTGGGTGTGACAATAAGACGACACGTGAATGATGAACAGGGCCACCACTTAACAGGAACTACAGAAGCATTGGTTAGGATCACTGTTATGATCGTTATTCCTGACAAGGAGCTGAGACCCAGAGTAGTAGAGACCTCACTGAGGTCACACGGCCTGTGCAGGCAGAAGCTGTTTCGGACTCTGAGCCTCAGATGCGGCCACTGCTTGGCTCTCTCCTGTCAGCTGGGAGGAGGTCGCTTTGGTGCCACTGACCACATCCTTTGCCAGCGGCCCCACAGAGACAGAGAGTGGCCTGTCCTCCCTTTGCCCCAGGAGGGACTTGACCAGAGTCCCTCTTGCTGCCCTCCAAAGCATCCCGTGTTTTCTGTCTCCTGTGTGCTGGGCCAGCCTGACGTCTGGCCCTTCCCACACTCTGTGTGAGGGGGTGAGTCTGAGGGCATTGGGCCTGGGCCAGAACTGTGGGTTCTTGGCCCATCTGGGGTAGCCCCGGCTGTTCCCTTGTCCTCCTAAGCCTAGTTCTCCACCAGGAAAATGAGAGATTTGACTAAATGGATTTGGGGGAGGTGGGGGTGGGGGCCTTAAGTCAAATCCTGCTTGGTCACTGGCCCACTGGGGAAACATGAGCGAGACACTTCCGTCTTTGGGCCTCCGTTTATGCATCCGCAGAATGGAAACAATGTTGGCACCCCTCCCTCATAAAGATATGGTGAGATTAGGGGCACCTAGCTGGCTCAGTCAGTAGATCATGGGACCTGATCTCCGGGTATGAGTTCGAACCCCACGTTAAGCATAGAACCTACTTTAAAAAAATTAAATTAAAAAAGAACAAATAGAGATGATGAGATCAAGTCAAGCAATGTTTGTGAAGCACTTGTTGGAGTGTCTGGCATGGAGTCCACAGTCACTAATGTGGGCTCATCTCATAATAATCATATCACCATCATCATCATCATCACACCTGATGGAACAGGGGAATCTATTACCACCTGCCCTCGCATCTTTGGAGAAGAACAGAGAGCATCATGAATCCATCTGTGTTTAAATTCCAAATCTTCTTTTCCGCAGCTGTGTGGCCTTACACAAAGCCCTTTCCCTCTTGGGGCCTCAGTTTGCTCATCTGTAGAATGGGACCGCTCAACCTTGCTGCACTAGATTACGAAGAGATGATGGACGCAAAGCAAAGGAGTTCTTCTTGCCTGCTACCCCAGCACTGCCACACTCCCATCCCCCAGAGGAACCCTATCCTCTCCTCCCCACTCCTAGCCAAACTCTGGGTTCTTGGCAAGGACTGAGACCTCTGTTCTGAGGGTGCTCAGAGAAGCCTTTCGGGCCTACCTCTTCCAACCGCCTCCCCTTCCCCAGCTCCCACCATCTATGCAGGGCAAGGTGAGGCATGGGAAAGGCACTAGAATGGTGCCATGAGCTTGCTGTGTGATGTTGGCTAAATGACAGCCCTTCTCTGATCCTGTTTTCCCAGCTCTGCAACGGGGGGTGGGGCAAGATCAACGTTCTTGACCTGGTCTGACCACCTGTAGTCCTCCTAGTGAGCTACCCGTGGAGACAAAGTCTATGGCTTTGATTGGATTCTGGAAAACACCTGGCACCCTTCCCCTAATCCCAATGTTGAAGAAGCAGGTGATTTCTGAGTGTCCTCTGAGAGCTGACGTTCGGGTTGCTGGGAGGCTGCTGGGTGTAGTGCGACAAGCTGGGGTCTGAGATCAGCCAGGACTGATTTAGGGGGGTAACTCGTAACCTGTCCTCTCCCACCTGGCTTCTCTTCTAGAAAATGCAGGTCATGCTCTCCTCCCACCCTACAGGGTTACAGAAGGAGTCACGCGAAGAGCCCAGGGCTGCACAAGGGCTGCTTGCTGTCCCCACCCCAGCTCCCGGCTGCAGAGGGCGGGGAGGGGTCCGTGCAGGCGGCCACAAGGCTCACCTTCTTGCAGAAGAGGTGCAGGTGGAGCAGCGTCTCCAGGTCCGTGCGCTGCCGCTCAGCCGCCATGTAGAAGTGGGTCAGCTTCGCCTGGAAGGCCCGCTGGGTGGAAGCGAAGGCTGCCAGCTCCGGGAACTTTGCTCCTCCCGCCGCGCTGCTTCCTCTGGCCACGGCTCCCAGCTCAGCCGCCTGCTTGGACAGCTCCAGGCCACGGCGGTACTGGGCCTGAGCAGGGAGAGGAGGAGGTCCACTCAGCTCCCATCCTAGCCAAGTCCTCCTCCGGAGGTCAGGACCCTCCACTGTCCCGCCGCTGGGTGGTGACACTTGCCAGACCTCTGTTGCCTCATCTGTAAAACGGGGCCAGGCCTCTGCCTCAGCAGCCCACTTGCCTCACTGGGACTCTGCTTAGAGTCATCTCCTTCTGGAAAACTTCCCTGACCCAGGGTCTGGGTTTGGGGCTCCTGCTGCATGTCCCCACATGTTCCCAGTCCCTGCTGGCCTAGGAACTCCCTGAGAACTGAAAGGGGCTGAACTAGGGTCCAGTACATCAAGGATACAAATTCCTTGCTCCGACCTCTGAGCCTGACTGAAGAGATCTCGGGTGGGACCCTGGAATCTACATTTAATGAAATCTTCCAGGAATTCTGAGAGAGGTTTTTTTGGTCTAGTGGTGATCCTGGAAGGCTTCCTGGAGGAGATAGCATCTAAGCTGAACCCTTCGTGATCTCAGCGGGTCTTCTTCCTATCTCTGGGAGTTTCATTGTGCTCTCCAACCTCCACACCTTTGCCCCAGCCATGCCCTCCTCCTCCACTGCCCTCTCCATGTGCCCTGGTCCTGCTCCCAGTCTTAGGAACGCACTGCAGCCTGGAGAAAGAAGTCCTCAAACTCCACGTGTGCCTTCTCCACAGTCTCCAAGCTTCTGTCTTTGGGGGTCAGCGCTTGCAGGCACCGGCTCCCCTCCTGCTCCATCCAGTTGCTGACCTAGGGCAGGGGAGGGAAGTTTGGACATGGTGGGGGGACCTGGGGGATGTCTCTTAGCCGGTTCCCCAGCTCCCTTGGAGATGGGGATCTTCTCGTCCTCAGTTATTCAGTGGCTGGACCCGTGCCCACTGGCCTAGACTGACACCTTCCCAGGTCTGGGCAGGAGCGATAGCTTGGGGAGGTCGGGTGCATTGTCACATTCTTCAGCTACCTGAAGGGAAAGAGTGCCTGGGTGGCTCAGTCAGTTAAGCGTTTACCCTTGGCTCAGGTCATGGTCACATAGTCCCAGGATCGAGCCATGCCTTGGGCACCCTGTTAGGTGGAAAGTCTGCTTCTCCTTCTTCCTCTGCCTGTCCCCCTGCTTCTTTTCTTTTGCTAACTCTCTCTCTTGCTCAAATAAATTAAGTTAATTACATTAAATTAAATTAAATCAAAACAAATACCTGAAGGGGAGAGTACTCCCCAAAGGGGACCCCAGAGGGCATCTGGCATGGCCAGCATCATGCACACTTGTTTGAACCAAGTCACAGGGTAGCAAATTTCGCTTAGTCTAACCACTTGCTGGCACCAATCATAAAAGAGGCAGCCTTGAGAGTAGTGAGCTCCCCACCCCCAGGGGTATACAAACAGTGCCAGAGGAAAAGCTGCCTTCTGTAGAGTAAGGTGCATGGGTGCTATGAAGTAAGGTGCTATGCACTCAGTATATCGACTGGGCAAGTCACTTCCCCTTTCTGGGCCTCAACTTATTCAGGGGCAAAATGGGGCAGACATGAGGAATCAGCAAGGGACAGCGGCTCTCCAACCCATGAGCAAAAGTCCCCTTCTGATTCTGGGATGCCTTCAAGAGTATGTGTTCACTCGTTTTATCCTCAAAAAGCCCAGCACAGCAGGCACTTACATTATTCCCCACTGAACAGATGGGGAAACTGAGGCAGCGAACAGTGCAATAACCTGCCTAGGGTCATAATCAGTGGCTGGAGCCAGGATTAGCGCCCACGCTGTCTGCATGCTCCACAGCTCCAGCCTGGAGGGGTGCACTGGCTCAAGACCCCGGCAGTCAGAGCAGCAATGCCAGGGGCAGGCTCCGGGATCCCCAGGTGTGTGACCACAGGCGGGTGATGTCATGTCTCCCAGCCTCCGCATCCTCATCGATGAGTGGGAGGAATCCCGCCATCCTCCCACATCCCTGGCAAGGGATGGGTTGGAAAATCCTGGTAGGTGCAGAGGCTCTGGCCCAGGGCTTGGCGGGGTAGGGCTTTGGGGGGGTTATGTCTTCACACGTCCAGCACCTAGAGAATGCCATGTCATGGCCGTGTCACCGGAGGCCCGCCTGGCATTGAAGAATGGCCAGCCTTGTGTCCTTACGCCAGAGCAGAGTGCCTGCTGGGTCAGGACCTGGGGCAGGGTTTTCTCTGCAGGGAAGCCAGCCTCCCCTTTCACCTGGAGGATGGCAGCTTCCAGACGGCCCAGGCGGATCCGGAGCTCCAGCCTCCCCAGGAGATGGTTAGATGCACTGACTAGGACATGCAGCCGCTCATCCACGAGGCCGTACAAGGCGACAGCTTCAGCCAGATGGCTCCTGGGAGGCGGAAGAGGGGGAAAGAGGGCCCCAGATGTTCCTCCCCACCAGTAGCCCCCTGCAACCTCCCACCAATTCCATGGTTCTGGCCTGGGGATTCCAGCTGCTGAGTTGCTGTGTGACCTTTGACAGGTCCCTATACCTCTCTGGACCTCAGACTTGGCCTTCCAAGGGATCGGGAAGACCAGAGGACACAGCAGGAAAGCAAATGACCCCCTCCCCTTCCCCGGGAGGGTATGAAGTGAGCTGGACAGATCTGGGTTCAAATCTTCACACCCACCCCAAGCCGTGGAATCAGATGCTGAGGGCGGCGTGGATATCAGTGCTTTCTAAAGCTTCTTGGGCAGTTCTGGGGGCAGCGAAGGCTGAGAAACAGGCCTCACACACTCAAACCCCTTAACACAGTGCCCAGCACACAGTGTGGGTTAGCGCTTATTACTTCTATTGTAAAGATGGTGAGTGGGTGTAACACACCCTTGCAGCCCAGCCTCCATTTTACAGATGGGAAAACTGCGGTCCAGAGAGAAGAACAGACTCTCATGCATGGCATTCTGTATTGAAACCTGGTGTGCAGCTTTTTAAATATTGTCAAAGCCAGTAAGACATAAGTGAAGGGACGCAGACAGGAGTGAGGCGTGGTAACACTGCGGTGAGGGGAGGAACACCCCTTAAATCCTACCCCACCCTCTTCTGCCCTATGGGGTCTTAACTTGAGAAGGAAAAAGGAAAAAATGCTTTGGAAGGAAAGCCTGCTATCCTTGCTCTGGGCCTCCTCCACGGACGGCAGCTTCCCACAGATCGCTGCCCTTCCAGGAAGGGCTGAGGGCCCAGGGTCGGTGGTGCTCAAGCTGGAAAATACCAGCCTGCCTGGAGGGACAGAGAGAGGAAGGAGCGGACCGGGAGCTGCAGGGTCCTTCCCACAGAACTAGTAGGCTCAGAGGCTCATGTGGGACCACAGCGCGCCCTGGTGGAATTTCTGGGGGTCAACAGTCTGGAGAGGCCCACGGAGGACAGAGGAGCCAGGGAACCAGCCAGCGAGGTGGGGTCACGCTGGGAAGGACAGTGCCAGCCCCACCAGGCCGTGTGAGGGGCAGGGAGATGGCTCCAGCCCAGCACCAGGCCCCACATCAGCGTGAATCTGTCTGTGGGCTGCAGCTCAAGGTGACGGGGTCAGGCTGCCTGGGTTGAAGTCCGGACCCCGGTACAGGTCAGCTGTGTGATCCTGGGAAAGTCACTCAACCTCCCTCTGGGCCTCAGGCCCCTCCTTTGTAAAAGGAGGGTAATGCTAGATTCCTCCTAGTGGGAATTAAACAAGTTAATATTTGCAAAGCCCTTAGGACAGGGCTGTGCTCGTACTAAGTACTATTCAGGTGTTGGTTAAATAAACTAATGATTCTTGGAAGCTTGTGTAAACCTTGTAATTGTGTTTGTTCTAATGGAAATAAAATAGCTCCAATTACTGACGGATTTAATTACTGACTTGCACCCCCCACCCTGAAATGTAAGCAAACCAGTACTTTCCAGAAATATGTGTCTGTTGTTCTGTGGCTCTGAGACCACTGATGCCGCCTAAGGTTCCCTGAGCGGGGCTGAGGAGCCCACCAGGGAAGGCGGGTGGTGCCGTTAGAGCATTTCCCTGAGCCTCAGCCTCCCATCGGCCAAATGAGGATGGTACGGCCCTCACGAGGTTCTTCTGGGGAATAAACAAGATGGACCCTTGAAGGGACGCAGCCTAGTGTCTTAGAAAGTCAGAGAAAGTGCTTGAGGGTGACCAGAAATGAGCAGGGGCTGTCCTTGGACACCTACCTGGGCTGAGGAGGGCCGGGGCTGAAGGAGGGGCAGCAGAGAAGGGACGGGGACCTTACCAAAGCCTCAGCCCTGGATATGAGCCCTGCAAATGCCCCCATCCTAGAAGTCCTTAGGGCCCGCTTGGTGGGTCCCCAGCTCCAGGCCCCCAGGGCCAGGGAACAAAAGTGGGTGAGGAAAACCCTGGCCATTCATACCTGACATCAGGGTTGGAATCCAGCCTACCAGCTTCCTGCCGCAGCTTGGCCAGAGTGGCTCCCCCTTCCCGCTGGAGGCCCAGCAGGCCTGGGTCCCTCAGCACGGCCTCCATCAGCTCCTTGGACTTGCTCAGACACCTGGAGGCCTCCTGTCAGTGTAAGGAGGTGGCCTGAGGATCAATCCCCACTCTCACTCTACAGCCTTTCAGGGCTCCCCACACCCAGATCGTGCCTGAGTCCCCCAGTTTGGTATTCAAGGTCCTGCAGAAAGTCTATCCTTTCTATCTCTAAAACATCTCCTCCAGCCATGCTTCCTCTCATCACCATGGCAACCTCACTGGTCCAAGCGCCTCATCTCTGTGGGACACTCAGCCCAGCCTCTTAACTGGTCTCTCTGTGGCTTGCTGGCTCCCTCTGTTCTCCATATGGCAGCTGGAAGGATCTCAGAGGGCCAAGGCATTCATCCTGCTGCTCAGAACTCTCCCAAGGCTTCTCTGGCAGCTTAGGGTCCCAGCCCAGCCCAACTCCTTGATCCAGCCTCCGTGGGGTTAAAAGATCCTCCTGTTGTTCTCTTCCTCTCCTACCCTGCTCCCACTGCTCTGCTCTACATCTGGCCTCCATGCTCTTCTAGAACATACCAGAACAAACCCCCCTCAGCACCTTGGCACATATTTGTCCTCCACCTGGCACAGTCCCCCTCCTGTTCCCATCACCGGCCCCTTGTCATTCTCAGGAGTCTGCTTAAATACCATCTCTTTACGGAGGTCCCCCCTCTTTCCCTATGGTTCTCGATCTTTCTTGGCATTTGGCACACTTTGTAGCTACATATCCATTTCTTTGTTTGCTTTTTAAAGGACTGCCTCTAGCACTGCACCCACAACACCCTCCAAAGGCAGGGACTAGTCGTTTTGCCCCAGGCTGGGGTCCCCACGGCATGACACACAGTGAGTGACCTATAAATATTAGTCCAATGAATGAATAAAAAAGGGGGATGGTTATGCCCAGCACGCTGTCCCCTTCACTGAACCCCTTGGTCCACGGAATCTGGGGTACAGAGGGGCTTCCCCATCCCATGAACCTGGCTTACCTGCACCCCTCCAGGAGGCTCACTCTTCTCAATCTGGTTGATGGAAGCCTTTAGCAAGGAGGCGGCCCGGCGGAGGTCAGCAAGGAAAGGGTCCAACTTCTGCATGATGGAAGACCAGAGCCGGGGTGTCAGCCTGGGCCCCCGAGGAGGGCGTCTGCCCATGCCAGGGGGACCCAGGGCGGGCATCAAGCAATGGTTCGCAAACTTGAGCTGCATCAGAATCACCTGGAGGGATGGTCAAAATCCAGACTGCTGAGCCCCACTCCTGAGTTCTTTATTGAATTCTTTTGGGTGGGGCCTGAGAAGGTACGTCCCTAGTAAGTTCCCAGGTGGTGCTGATACCTCTGGTCCAGGGACCACACTTTGAGAATCACTGAGGCTAGGAAGGAGAGAAGGAGAGGAAAGAAGACCCAAGGTATCCTCTGGGGGGAGGGGCAGGAGCAGATGTGGGAGGGTGGAGATAGGGGACATCCTCTGCTGGGTCCCCCTTCAGCCCAGCTTCACCACTGACAGGCTGTGAGACCTTGGGCAAGTTGCCTAACCTCTCTGTGCCTCTACTTCCTCCTCTATAAAATAGGATCGCAGTCGTCCCTACCTTATAGGCTTGCAGGAGGATGAAACGGGTTCATGTGGGCGAGGCACTTAGTGTCTTAGCCATCATCATCATTAGTTTTATATTCTGGGCCTATGGGCTAGATTTCATGAAAATAGAGTTCAAAGACCACTGGATTCATCAGAGGGGAATTGGGGGCCGGTGGGATGAATAGGAAAGGAGATTTTTCAATATATACACCCTTCAGCAGCATTTTTGAATTTTGAACCCACTCTGCCTTTTCAAAAATGGGCACAGGTTCAACAGGAGAGAACCCAGGCCCCAAACAAGTAAACAAACCACCGCACGCGGCGGTCAGTGGAGACCAGCGGTTCTCACCGGGGGTGATTTCATCCCCCAGGGGACATCAGACAATGTCTAGAGATGTTTTCGGTTGTCGTAGTTTGCGAGGTGCCCCTGTCAGAGTGGGTAGTGGCCAGGGACAGTACAAATCATGCCACAATGCACAAGAGAGCTCCCCGCAAAAGGGAATTATCCAGTCCCAAATGTGAACAGTGCCGAGGATGAGCAGTAGGGAAAGTCGAGGACGACATTTATGGGCACTGGTTTCCATGCGATTTAAGCCTGGAATCTTCTGTGTGCTGTTGTGCTAGTCCCTCCCCACCACCACACACACACACACACACACACTGTCCTGTGTGTCCTCGTGTGTTAAACTGGACATGAAATGCCCCCTCCGGGGTTGTGCTGAGGAGAGGCTGAGATCATGAGGGGAAGGAGCCCAGTGCAGGCTGTTTCCTGATCTTCCTCTCTCAGAAGGGAACATGTCTGCCTCCCCCGCCAGTCCCTGAGCTCTCTGAGTTGTGCGGGGCCACAGCACAATCAGTTAACAACAGACACAGCTCTGTGCATACACCAGCCACTCTTCCAAGCTCTTCTCCCGCATTAACTCAATTAATCTTCACATCAGCCCCTTGGAAACGACTATCTTTACCTCCCCTTCCCAATTTTGGACTAAAAGAAAAGGACTCAGAGAAGGTAGGTAACTTACTCAAGGTCACACAGCAGAGCGGGGAATAGAACCCAGGCACTTTGGGCCCAGAGCCTCAGCTCTTAATCACCACCCTCTGAACCCTCATCATAAACGTTTGTTGAATGTCTGGTTTGGAACCTGACAGGGTCGCTGGATCCCTGAAGCAAGAGTGTGAAAGGAGGAAGAGGAGGAGACAGGGTGGGGGGTAGAGGCTGTGAGGGCAGGCACCTGGAAGAATTGCACCCACTCGCTGTGGCAGTAGGGGAGGGAGCCCTCCAGGGCTGGGGGCAGCTGGCTGGGGTCCACGTGGTGGCTGAGAGCCCTCAGTGAGGTCACCACCTCTACCTGCAGATCAAAGAAGTCAGTCAGGAGGACTGGAGGATTCTGGGTGGGGACATATGTTTGAGAAGGGCCTGCCAGATCCCTGTCCCAACACTGCTCCACCCGCCGCAGGGAAGGCTGGCCCTGGCTTTAAGAGTTGCTTTCTGGACCAAGGATCTTCTCTGGAAAGTCTGACAAATCAACATTAAGAATGAGATCCTGGCTAAGGAAGGGCACATCAAAGCACTTAACATACCCCACCTCTTAGCCTGTGCCCAGGGCAGACATCACTAATCAATCACAGCACTGGCTCCCTCTAAGCCAGGCTCTTTCCCAGCACAGCTCTCCAGGCCATCACACAAATTGATTGATGCTGACCCTTTTCTTATAACTTCTTTGGAATCCTTGTACTGTCCTCTGACGACCCACCAAGGTGCTGTCTCCTTCTTGGGGCTGATGAAAAAGTTCACCAAATCTGAATGTCCTCTAAGACATGGAGGAGGGACAAAGTGGCTGCTTCTCCTGGGTGCTAAAGATGAATGTTTATGCCAGGCCCAGCTCCAGATACCTAAGCTTGGGATCGGGTGGACTCAGTTTTTTTGGACCCGTCTGTTCTCCTTGGTACTCAATGAGTGGTCCACGGACCAGCAGCCTGAGCACCACCTAGGGGCTCCTAGAGATGCGGAATCCCACGCCCCATCCAGAACTGCTTCATTGGAACCTGCACTTTGACAAGATCCCTCAAGGGATTCACTGGTCCATAAAAGCATGAAATGCACATCCTGGCTCACAGTGTGTCTCTTTACCGATGAGGAGAAAGAGGAAGGAGGTTTTTCAAATCATTTCTGGAAACAAGGCAGAGGGCAGGGTGCCCACACCATGATTGTAATACATGCACTGATTAAAGAAAATGGCAGGCCTCTTTCCTGCAAAGCCCTAAATGATCTGAACCGGAGATGCTGAGAGACCCAAGGGAGGGGGAAGGCAGGAAGATCGGGGCCGCAATATGTTTCTAGCTTGCTGCGTGGCCTTGGGCCTCAGTTTCCCCATCTGAAAAAAGGGAAGGAGGGGTCGAGGAGATGAAGCTTTTTAAATAGTCTTCATGCCATTGCAGGTCCGTCATGCGCCAGGAGCTGCTGGCATTGCCAGAGAGGGAGAACTGTATGGTTTGGAAGCACCTGCCGGAGAGGCTGGGGCTTGGAGTTGTAGCACACGGCCTTGTACTTGCTGAACTCCACTAACTAGGCTGACCTTGAACTTGTTAACCTTCCCTAGCTGCTGAATTCTGCACCCCAGCTCAGTTCAGCTCCCCCACTCACCTGGATGTCAGCCAGCATCCCCGGCTGGAGAGCAGCCTCCTCGTCCCCCAGGTAGAGCACAGCACCCATGGAGCCTGGGGCCAGAGCCTGTCAGAGAGAATCCTTTCAGGGGGGCTCTGCCTAGACCTTCACTGAGCCACCTGCTAAGATTCAGGCAAACAGGGTGGGTGGGGCATGGCGGGGGACGTGTAGGTGGGATGTTTGGAGGGTGAGTCATTGGGAGTCAACAGAACAGTAGGTCCAGGCTGTGTTACAAACTTCCTACATGATCCATCCCCACTGGGCCTCAGTTTCCCCATTATAAAGTGAGGAAAGGAAGAAGAGGAGATCAGACCATAAGGTAAGCATACGCCAACCTTCCACTTCCTCTGTTGCCTAACCCATTGACTTAGGAACCTCTTCCTCCGGCCTTCTGCACTCATGAGGTTCAGGGGACCCAAGTCTAAGCCGATCAGTGTGCCGCATTCCCCTGGCCATGAAGATTGGTTGGGGGATGACCACCTGAGCTAAGGAGACAGAAGGAAACTTGCTGGGACTCCTGGGAAGAGAATCTCTCACTCTGTCCTACTGGACTTAAATGAAAGACCATGGGAAGTGAAAGCTGCTGGGACCCAGATAGCTACCAAGGCAGGGAGCCTGGCTGAGAAGAGCGCCCTCCCAGGAGAAACTGGCCAGAAATGCAGAGACAGGAACCAGGTCTTGGAGACAAGATTTGAGCCCCTGAATCAAGCCATACTTGGAAGTTGGATCTAATTTCCGGATTGTCAAGTCAAATGAACCAATGAACTCCCTCTCTCTTCAGGCCTCTTTGGGCTGGGATTTCTATACTGTAATTAAGAGTGTCTGCCTGGCGTTCCTGGTTCCAGCTCTCAGCTCCCTGGGCTCCATGAGCACCACAAGTGCCCTGGAGCTCCCAACACTTGCTAGGCTGAGGCTGTCCACCGCCCACTCACCTGGGTGGCCTGCAGGGCACTGACCAGACCAGGATACAGGGGCTGTTTCCTGGCATCAATCACAACAGCCAGCCCCTTGGTTTTATCTTCAGGCCTGTGGGTGATAAACAGAGTTGGCAATCTTGCTGGATGGACCAGGCTTTCTAGGGGGAAGGAACTATGGGGGTGGGGGGACTGGCTGCCAGGAGCCTTGATTTATTGGTGAACTCTTCCTCCTACAAGACCAACTAACTGCCAACGCCCACCCCACTCCAGGAAGCCCTCCATGGTCTTTATCCAGGTGGAGTCCATTGCTTCCTCTTCGGTGTTCCCACAGAACCTCACACAGCCCTCTCTCACACCCTATAAGCCACTGTCCCCACTGCAGTGGACGAGTCGTCCAGCATTGAACCCATCCTTTCCCTGTGGGCAGAGCTCTCGTTTTCTTCAGGAATCCCACGTTTTGCTCAGGAATCCCATGCCCTCCGTATAACAGGTCCCCCAGGGGCTGGTTTCTGATTGGTTGAGGCCAGAAACCGTGGGGGCACTTCTGGGAAAGACAGGCTCTCCTTTACCAGTTTCCTCCTAAGAGCTAGAAAACGGAGACCAAGAAAGTTAGATTTCCTTATCAGTTAAGACATTTTGAACTGGAATTTGTTGCTTGCAGCCCGAGCACCCTCAGTGGTTCCCGGTGTACTTTTCGGTGATGACCTTAGGATTTCCCAAACTGGCCCAATTGTCAGGACTTGTTAAAATAATTGGTTCGTCACCCCCGCCCCTGCCCCATCCCCCCAGCAGATCCAGGGTGGGGCAGGGAGGCTGTGCGGTTCCAAGTGCCCTTGGCCATCCTCATGATCAGGCAGGTTGGGAAAATAACCCCCCGGGACCTCCAAGCCTGAAGTCTAGCCAGTTCTCAGAAAAAATGCAGGCGGCCAGTGTGGTGCTAGACTTGTGGTACAGTGTCTGGAACCTGGACAAGTTGTTCCATCTTGCTGAGAGTCCATTTTCCCATCTGTAATGGGGATCATAGTGCTGAACCCGTGGGACTGGCTGTGGTGAGGACTGATGAATTCATTGGAGTGAGGCACTCAGTGACTGCGCAGGGTAAGAGGAACATAAATGCCTGCTTTTGTCATGACCCTAGCAGGGGAAACTGAGGCACAGAGTGGCGCCATGGCAGACAATGAGAAGAGGCCCCGCACCTTGCCTGCCTCCCACTGTTCATGCTGGGAGAGCCGTTTGCTTCCGCATAAGCCTGGCCACCAACCTGGGGGGCAGGCCCCGATATGAGGAGCATCTGAGTCTCTAGCGTGACCTAGCGTGAAGCTGGGGACAGGACTCCACAGTTTACATTGGTCCCCAGAGTCCACTTGGTCGTCCCTTTTTTTCAAGTGACACTCAGAGAGGGGAGGTTACTGCCCCAAGGTCACACAGCAAATTGGTGGGATTCCAGGATTCTGTCTAACACACTGACCACTTCTCAGCACGAAAAAAGTGGGTCCCATCTGCCCCTTAGGCCAGAACAGTCACACCACCTTGAAGAAGAGGAAGAAAAATCTTAATGGCCAGCAAGTGGCCATGATAGTTCCCATGGGGTAGAGCATATGGAGAAGGTTCCAAAGGGTTCCATCAGTCCCTCCATCCCCTACCCCTAGCCACACAGCCTCTAGGTTGGGTTGGGGTCTCTAGCACAGTCCTGAACAAACACCACCTCTGAGACCCTCCTGGCTGGGGGCTGGAACACTGAAGAAAGGATGGTGGCTTTCCCCAGCCAGCCCAACCTGAAGTCACGCAGGTGGGGGAGTGGAGGTCTTAGAAATCAGCCAGGATCACCCACTAATCATCACCGATCTACATCACCCCCATTCTTTTCACCACACTGATGCTCCTAAGAGTTGCTCGTCCATGCTCTGCTCCTCACACGCCATCCATCTCCCGCAATCTGGGAACCCCCTGATGGCAGGGACTAAGTCTGTCCTGCTCCCCCCTCCCCCCAGCATCTGGCTTGGGACTGGCTCTGGGAACAGACGACTGGGTGGAAGGGCGCGGTGTCTGTCCACTCAGTGCCCAGCCCGGGACTCTGGGCCAAGAAGTCAAAAGGGGACAGAGTGGCCAGCTGGCCCAGCCCCTTACCTGGGGACAGTGCACAGGTAGGAAAGCAGCTTGGTGACTTCTGAGGTTGTGCACCATGGTGCCTCCCAGGCCCCCTCAGTGGTTGACACCAGAAGCAGGGGCCTCCCTGCCCTGTCCCGACCACCTGGAGAAGGGAGGACACAGGTGAGCCGTGAGAACCCCAGGTCTCTCCGCCTCGGATGTCCTTTGTCTCCTCCCTCGGCAACTCTGAACTCTGAGTCAGCCTTCAAGACCCAGCTCAATAGCCACTTCCTCAGAAAGCTGTCTTTGACTCCGCCCTCCATTCTGGACTCCCTCATTCTGGACTCCCTTCTGCACAGGGCACTCTGGGACGCACAGCTCAGGGACTAGACTTTGGAGGCATGTGGATGGGTTCAAGTGTCAGCGGCACTGACTCACTGTGTGTCCTTGGGCTAGTCGCTGTGCCTCTGAGCCTGTTTCCTCATCTGTTAAATGGGGAGAATAAAATGTGGAGCTTACTAGGTCATTTTGAGGCTAAATGAGATGGTCCTGAGAAACACACGGAGCCACGGGCTCAGTGACAACCATTGTTACACGGAACATCGCCTCTGTCCTCATCTCTGCCCCCAGCCCAGGGCTGCCAGCTCATGTTTCATTCTTGCAGACTTTTACCCATGGGTTCCGTAGACTGTTTCTCATTCCAGGAATTAGGGCTGCATGGCCCACTGTCCCCACAGGGGCTGAGAGTCCGAGGCCCAGGGAGTCAGTGCAGCCCAGCTGCACGGTAGTGAGGGGAGAGCACAGAGGAAGGAAAGAGGCTCAGGCCTCTGAAACTGGGCCTGCCTCACACCCTGGGCTCGGAGCCCTGCCCTCCAGAGTCACCTCACGCAGAACTATCTTGCAACAGCCACCGTCCACTCCACGTGGGCACGACCTTCTACAGTGTGTAAGCATGTAAGACCCTTTATGGCTCAGGAAGTCTTAGAGACAAGCTTAACAGCCTTCATAAGTGCTGTCTCACACAGGGGTGCAGACCTTCTAGAACAGTCTTTCCTTCATGCACATTTGGAAATTTGACATAATCGAAAAGGATGTCCGACCGCGTGTGTCTACCTTTAGATCCTCTTGAGATCATGGGTTTGATTTTTCTTTTCCCCGTGATACTCATTTATAAATTTCAAAAGGAAAAGCATTTCACTGGGGACAACATGGGAAATTTGAATATGAACTGGGTGTTGAGTATTAGAAATTATATTTAGGTTTGTTAGATGGGCTAATGGTATTGCAGTTCTTAGGGAAAATATCTTCAGAGCTGAGAGAGGCATGCTGAAGTATTCAGGGAGAAGATATGAAGATCTTTCACTTACGCCAAAATGTTAAGACTTATTAAATCTGAATAATGGGTAAGTGGGTGTTCATTACACTACAGTCTCTGCTTTTTTTTTGGTATGTTAGTATTTTTTATAAGAGGAAGTAAAAAAATGTGAAATGATTAAACATGAGAAAATGATATAACCTACAAAGTCAGAGATGTCTGTCCATGTTCCTCTGAAATCCTCTCGCAGCCACTGGGGCCGTCAGGTCAGGCAATGCTGCATCATCGTCCCCAGGCCCATTTTCTTGATAAGGAAACTGGAGCCCAGCGAGGGGAAGTGGCTTCCCAGGCTCGCACAGAGCCAGGTCCCTCACCTGCTTGAGTCATGCTTGATCTGGCCCTTGACCACCAGGAGACATGAGCTCCTGTCTCTGTAGATCCATGACTGGAGCTCAGTAGAGGCTCTGTGGGGTGCTGCTCCCCTACTCTAAACAGTTCGTGGCTCCCCATGGCCTCTAGGAAAAAGTGCAAGTTTCTCCACTTGCCCCTTAAGTCTCCCCAGAGGCTGCACACTCTTCCAGGCTCATTTCATTCATTTTATGTTATCAGCTGTATTGTGTTCTTCCTACAGCCCCCCACTGCCATATGTTGAAGTCCTAATCCCCAGGAACTCAGAATGTAACTGTATTTAGAGACAGGGTCTTTAAAGACATGATTCAATTAACATGAGGTCATTGGGGTGGGCCCTAATCCAATATGACTAGTGTCCCTGTGAAAAGAGGAAATGTGGACACAGACACACAGAGAGAAGACCACGTGAAGATCAGATCATCATCTACAACTAATAGACTGTGTCACCCCTTGCAACCTATGGCCCAGCCAGAAAGGGTCATCTGTCATTGCCTAACCTAGGCGGATCCTTTCACACCTCCCACCTCTGTTCATGCTGTTTCTTCTGCCAGGGATTCTCTCCCCTCCCATTTCTGTCTGGTGAAACCCTCCTTATCTTTCCAAGCAGCCACCGCCTCCAGGAAGACCTCCTCTCTGCCCTCTGTAGAAGCCCTTCTCCCACTGCAGCCTCCTACAGCAAATGTAGGCCTTTATTCAATCCTGCAAAACTGAGGGCTCCACTCATTGTATCCCAGCACTCAGCACAAAATGGTACAGGTCTATGAAGTAAAATAGATTTTTAAGACAGTACATCACAAAAAGCCCTGAGGTCTTTCTTGCTTCTGGACATTTGCATATTCTGTTCCCTCTGTCTGGAACACTGTTCCCACCCCTTCACCTGGATAAAACCTAGTCATGCTCTAGACTGAGCTTTCTGTTGCTTCCTCTTTCCTCCCTGACCTCTCCTCGTACCCAAGCCTGGGCCAGGGCACTCATCGGTCTCCTACAGCACCCTGTACTCCTCCACAGTGCAATTTGTTTACACTGGATTGTAATAACCTGTTGAATTTTCTCTACCCTGAGAATATAGACTTTTTGAGAGCAGGGCACACATCAGTCTTGTTCCTCGCTGAATCCTCAGTGCTGAGCCCAGGGTCTGGCTGTACACAGCAGGTATTAAAGAAATGTTTGTTGCAAAGATGAATAAATATTCAACAGAAGGGATAATATCCTCTCTACTGGATGCTGGTAAAACCCCACTCGGATCCCTTTGTCAGGCTTGATACCCATCCCCCAGCGGCTGTTGACTGCTGGCTGTATTGGCTCACAGATGTCCCGTTCTCTAGAGAATTGCCCTCAACTGAACTGGATCACAGGTTCACCCTGCATCCCAGGCCCCGCCTAGGTTGATGACCAACAGACCCAAGCACACAAAAGACCAGCCCCCTACACCTTAAAATGGAACCAGCTCTGTGGTGTAATTCATGTCCCAAATCTTCACGGGGTCAGGCCCCATTGTCACTCAGCTCCTCCCCTGCCATGTCCTGCTCTCCTCACTCCCCTTCTCCTGAGAACCACCTTCAACAAATCACTTCTCCAAGAATCCCTGTCTTAGGCCCTGTTTCTAGGGAACAGACCTAAGACACCAATGCTGGCTGCCTCACTGAAAATTAGGATGGATGGATGGATGGATGGATGGATGGATGGATGGATAGATGGATGGATAGTTGGATGGATGGATGGATGGATGGATGGATGGATGGATGGATGGATATCTAGAAATTGGTTTCATATAATCCAGTTCCTTCACTGGAAATATGAAAAGCCTGAGTCCCAGGGGTACTTGGTCCAGAACACAAGCCTCCAGGACCTTCCTTGTCTCCTCCACACCCACCAACACCAGGATGCTCAGAGACTCCCCACCCCAACACACCCTCACCCCACCCCACCACCCTCCTCTCCACATCCTGCTGCCCTATGATCCCCGAGGACCTGGCAGACATGCTATTCTTGACTGGAACATCTCCACACTCAGAGTCCCCATCCTGGGCTCAGGCCCTGGGGTCTCCTCATCCACAGCGGGGACTCTTCCAGGAGGGCCTTCTGGAAAGCCAGTCTTTTCCCTGGTCAGTGGGCCTGAGTCAGCAGCTGGGCCAGATGCTTTGGTCTTAGTTGTCCCAGCTGGGGAAGAGCAACAAAGAATACAGTATTAAGGAGAATCTGGGTTTCCCCAGATTCTTCTCTGGCATCTTCTGACTGATAATAACAGCTTATGGCTACTGGTCTCCTACCACATGGCAGGTGTTATGCTAGGTCCTTTTTTTTTTTTTAAGTTTATTTATTTATTTGATAATCTACACACCCAACATGGGGCTCAAACTCACAACCTTGAGATCAAGAGTCACGAGCTCTTCCAATTGAGCCAGCCAGGTGTCCCTAAGCTGCTTACTTTTAGTGTGTCTTTGAACCTCAGAACAACTGTGTGAGGCAGAGGACACCCACACTGCACCAAGAAGGAGTCCTTGACCAAGGTCAGCCAGCCGCTGCGGGGCAGAGCTGACTGTGGACTCAGGACGGCTCAGAATAGCCATTCCAGATTCCCGAGACTTCAAGCCTCTTGACATGCTCCCGGTGCACTAAAACCCTGAGGCTGAACCAGTTCAGGGGGGGGGGGGGTCTCTGTCCCTGGCATCCTGAGCCTCCTTGTCACCTGGTCATGTCCAGAGAATAGTCCCCTGTCCAGCCGAGCGAGTGGGCACCTTACCTTTCCCCAAGCCCTTGGCCCTGTTGGGTTTGGGAGAGTAGAGCGAACACAAAACTTTCCAGGGCCCGTCGTGCTGGAGTGAGGCTTTCTCTGGGGGCCCCGGGGCTTGCCTTTGCCCTTTCAAGAAGGAGAATCTGAGCCCAAGAGTGGGGGACCTGGAGGAGGAGGTGTTCTGACTGGGGCCAGGCCCAGGTTTAGAAAGTCTCCCATGGTTCAGTTTGGCCCTCTCTTCCATCTTGGTTTCAGGGACTGGAGTAGCAGGAGGGGAAGCTGGGCACAGGTGCAGGGAGGACTCTTGTTTTGGGTTAGGCCTGGGCTGGACCATGTTTTCTGGGTTTCCCAGATGTCCCTGCACCTTGGAGGAAGCCGGGTCTTCTGAACCACCTTCCTCGAGGCCAGAGGCACAGGGAAATGGCTTCTCAAGGACGTTGAGGCAGGGCTCCCGGGGCTGCTGTTCTGAGTCGTGGGTGTGTGCGTCAACCTTACGGTTGACCTTTCTCCTCAAGTCCAAAAGGCAGGGCTCCTCTTCTGAGCTTGCTGCCTTCTCACAAGACCATTTTTTCAAGGACGGTCCCCCACTGGTGCCTGAGAGAGGTGGCGTTCTTTGAGAGAAAGGGATTTCCTTAGTTCTAGATAATTCCTCCAATGCCCCCAAAGGACACCCATGGGATGTCTCCACTCCCCTACTAGGAGACCCTCCTCTGCTCTCCAGAAGGACCACATAGTCTCCCTCCAAGTCCTGGCTGGCCACATGGTCCATCCTGAAGGCCACCTCCCCAGGCCTGGCTGGCTCCACTTTGATGAGTCCTGGGTACTTGTTTCCATAAGTCCTGCCCTTGCCCTTGGCCAAGCTCTGGGCATGCAGCTCCTGGCAGCCTGGGGACTCGGGCTGGGGCAGCTCCGGAGGGCAGCTCAAATCGAGGGCCTCTAACTGAAGGGACCCCCAGGCCAGGGAAAGGACATTCACTGCTTGGGATCTGTCATCCACAAACTCCGGGCTGGTTATCTTGGTCCAAGGCACAGAGACAATTCCATCTTCTGAAGCAACCAGGCAGTTGTGAAGGGGGCTTCCCTCAAAGTCACTGTTGATGGCCTCCAGGCCCATCTGGGTGAAAAGTATAGGGTAGGACGACATGGGAACAAGCTTTGTGTCCACCGTGCGGAGGTCCAAGGAGAGGCATTTGATCATGATGCAGACGGACTGCTCCTCCTGGGGCTCGACTTGGAGGTAGAAGTCCCCTTGGCGTAGCAAGAGAGGGTTGAGGGGGGCCAGGTGTACCACGACCTCACCCCCCAGGCACAGAGGCCAGCCCTCATGCAGGAAGAGGCAATGCGAGTACGGGGCCTGCGGACAGAAGGGTGATGTCAGAGAATCCTACCCCGGAAGGACCTGCCCATGGGGCTGACGGAATCTGGGGCAGGTCGGGGATGGGAGCAGGGAGGCAAGAGAGGTGCCTACAACATAACTCTTAGGGCCCCATCTCAGAGTCTGGCAAGTCACACAATCCCTAGAGCAAATGCCTCTCCTGCCCCACCCTAGTCCTAACCCTGATCTTAAAAATGCTCGCTAGCCTTCTGGCCCAAGAGAGAAAAGCTCTGAGTGACAGGTGCTACTTTACAGGTGCCTTTCCCATGAGGATCGTTTTGCTTGGGTCACGGTCCCTTCTGCACATCTACCCCAGACTTCTCTCAATCCAAATCAAGTCTGAGCCCTTCATTCGAGAGCCAGAGAGACAAGGTGTGAATCGCTAACTTGTGCAGATTACATAACTGTTTCAAGCCTCAATTTTCCTATCTGCAAGCAGGAATGACCATATGTATCATATGACTGGGTTGGTCTGAGGATTAAGTGAGATCTTATATACGTGTAAATAAAACCCCCCACAGCACGACACCTGGCGTACACTAAGTGGGCGTTCAATAAATGTTAATTTCCTCTCCCTCTGACATTTGCCCTTTGAAAAATTGTGGGGATTTTCCATTAGAAAATGAGTCAGTTATGGCATTTACGCCATTCTCTTATTTTTAAGGCAGAGAGATTACAGAGTGAAGTCGGAACAATCCTGGGTGAAAGCCAGGAAACACGACCCCACCACTACCTTGTTGGATGATCTTGAAACAAATAAACAAGCAAACAAACAAAATCATTCCACTATTCTGGACTTGAATGTTTATTATTTATTGGTTTAAATATGATTTAAGTATTTATTTATTTTTCTTCACTGAGTAATGACATGGCAGGTGAGGAAAAACTTTTTTTTTTTTTTTTTTTTTTTAAAAACAGGAGGCACCAGCAATTCTCCGTATAGGTGGGACACAGCAGGGCATCCCAGAGCCGGTTGGACCTGACCTCTCTTGAAGATTTTTTATTTATTTATTTGACACAGAGAGAGAGAGAGATCACAAGTAGGCAGAGAGGCAGGCAGAGAGAGGGAAGCAGGCTCCCCGCTGAGCGGAAAGCCTAATGTGGGGCTCAATCCCAGGACCCTGAGATTATGACCTGAGCCAAAAGCAGAGGCTTAACCCACTGAGCCACCCAGGCACCCCAGACCTGATCTCTCTTGATGGAGCCCCTCCACCGGGCTGTGCAGGACCCACTCCCACAGCAACACAATGTGGCAACAACAGAAGCAACACCCCCACCTGCCACGGGACTGACAGGTATTTCTCTCTCTCTCTCTCTACCTGGCTTTTGGAAAAGAGCCCTGTGGCTTGAGTAAAACCTAGATAATCTTCTATAATTTGGATGTGTATGTGGAGGAGCTCCAGAGAATGACACTGAGGTTCCCCTTAATGAAGCAGGTGCTTCCCAGGTTGATTAATTGGGGTAAGAACTGACTGCCCTTGTACCCTGAGTAGGTAAACCAGTCCCCGTCAGGGACTCTGTAGATTTGGCTGCCGCAGGGAACCTTCCTATCCCCAAACCCCTCCAGTCCGCGAGTTCCTCAGCTACTTTCACTGAGCGTTCTGCCGTTTACAACCTGCTTTCCCTCGCCTTCCCATTGAACGAGGCCAAACTGCCCAGCAGTATTGTGCAAACAGCAATGCACCACAGAGACGACGGTTATGATCAATGTATTTGAACCTCACAGTCACTCGGTGGGGCAGGGAGTTTAGGTACCTTTATCCCCACTTTACAGATGAGGACAACTGAGGCTCAAGGGGGTGAAAGAACTAGCTCATGGCCACACAGCTGAGAGCAGCATAAACAGGACTCGTGCCTTGGCTTTCACATTTGGAGGCATCTGTGTCTGTTCCTGCTCCCCACTGGACTTCATCTGAGGGTGCTGGCCACCTCCGGGTGCTGGCCTTTATCAAGGCCAACTTTGGGGCTGGCACATTCCTATTTTCAGGGGAGAAAGAAAAAAGTGGGAAAGTAACAGCCAAGGGCTACTGAGCAGCTGCTGCATACCAGGCTCTGTGCCAGGCTGTGTGTGTCCTCTCTGGGACGTGGGTACCGTCTTATCCACATTCCTGCTTTCCCATGAAGGAAGCTCAGAGGGTGATCGCCCAGCTCTGCAGTGATGGAGCCTGGCTTTGAACCTGGGCACCTGACTCTTGCCGCCATAATATTAATCCCACCCCGGGCTCAGAGGTGACATGAATTCACCTATAATTATAATTAAAATCTCCTATGATTAAAAATAGGGAAATTGGGGCGCCTGGGTGGCTCAGTGGGTTAAGCCTCTGCCTTTGCTCAGGTCATGATCCCAGGGTCCTGGGATCAAGCCCCGCACCGGACTCTCTGCTCAGCAGGGAGTCTGCTTCCCCCCGACCCCTGCCTGCCTCTCTGCCTACTTGTGATCTCTGTGTGTCAAATGAATAAATAAAATCTTTTTTAAAAATAGGGAAATTAAAGCGTTGTGACCCTTGTTCCTGGAAGACATGGGGAAGGAGCTGGGAGGGGCAGGTTATGCACAAAATAGTGTCAGGGTGGGCAAATGGGAGCTGGCAGTAGGTGCTTGGTGAGAATCTTTCTTCTCCTGCAATAACAATGACTGTGTATGCCAGTTTCTGCCTTCCAGAAGCCACACCAAGCAAGGGAAACGAAGGATCGTAGTCTCCTTCCAGTTCCAACCATCTCTAGTTCTGGCTCCCAAACCTGAGCTTTCAGCTGCCATATTCAATTTCTTGCTACCCCTGAAATGATGTGCATGGTCCTCACTCTTATTTTTTGCTCCCGATGCATTAGGTCTCCGAGGCACATGAGCCCGCGGGAGCTTCAAACTTCTTAGCGATGCTTGAGGCTGGGACAGCGGGGGCACAGTTGGCAACCCCGTGAAGGGTGTAGACAAGTTCCTGCAACAGGCATCTGAGGGCTTGGTCTCCAAAGGCCTGTCCCCACCCTTAAAATAGTCACCACCTCTGACCAGAGGCGTAGATGTATGATGCAAGCCTGGTCAACCCCACTATCCCATTTCTCTGGCTGCAGCAACTGGTCCACAGACGGACATCCAATCCAAGCCTGGCCAATCAGGATCTTTTCTGGCATCTTTTCTATCTGCAGTTGAGGGGGAAGAGTTCTTTTTCCTCTCCAAGAGTTTCTCCTTTCCAGGACGGGAGTTGATCCCAGTCTTGGGGGGACATCTAGCCTGTAAGATTGATGTTGGCAAAAAAGGAGAAGCAGAGACACGAGACAGAAAGGGATTTGATTGGTGTATCAACTCGGGGCTGAGGCCAGATCACCTTGAGTAAAGATCTATCATTTGCAGCCAAGGAGACCTACCTAAAACACTTTTCTTTCCACTTTGCCTTAGAGAGGCCTCCCTGAGATCTGGGTTCAAAGAGGTCTCCTGGGACAAAAGTGAGTCCTGAGGCCTCAAGGGCTCCAGGAAATATCTGGAACATTCTCTGCTATTTCCACTGAAGCTGACCCACTTCAGCCAAGGCAGCTTGGTGATGCCCACAATGCCAGCCCCAGGGCAGGCTCCCAAGGGTCATCCCACCTTTTATCCAGGATTTACTCCCCACTAGTGAAAGGATAAACGTGATTGACTCCTAGATAATCAGAGAGCAAAGAGCCAAGTGAGCTTCCTGCTCCACTGGGGGGAGCCAGGAGGAGGGTGGAGACATCTCCCTTTGGGCAAGCAGTGGTACCTGGAGAACCATCCCACATCCTCAATTCTTGCTCTGAGACAAGGCATGCACCAGCCCACTTCCTTCCCTGCTCACCTCCAGCCCTCTGGTTCTGGGAGAGCTTGTCTCCCGGCTCCACCCTCCCTCCCAAACTTACACAGGCTGCTTCTCGCACTTGCTCACACAGGCGCTTGGCAGGAATAAGGAAATCCAGAAGGAAGCTCAGCCCATCCCCTTGGAAGTCAGAATCCAGCAGACGGAACACCTGCCCCAGGATGGTGGGCGCCGTGGCCTCAAAAGGGGGATAGAGGCCTGCCAGGGCATGCTGGATGGCTGTGTCCAGAGATGGGGGGTCCTGTGGGGGATAGGAGGAGAATATGAAAAGCGATCATAGCAGTACTAATTAGGGTAGTGGCCACTTCCCATGACCTTCTAGGCTCCATATGACTAAGGCTGCAGCCAACTCGCTGACCTCCTCTGCTACCCTTACCCCTCATTCATCCCCTCCAGCTATATTGGCCTTCTTTCCTGTTCCTCAGGACCTTTGCACTGGCAGCTCCCTCTGTCTAGAATACTCTTCCTCAAGACATCCTCATTCCCTCCCCTCCTGTGGTCTTTGCTCAGTGCCATCTATAGGCCCAAGGTGGAGGGGAGGAATGGTGGGGGGCATTCTAAGTCAGGGCCAGAGGCAACAGGGAGGTCAGCAACCTCCAATCCCACCATCTGGCAGACCGGCACACCTGCAGGTTGAAGCTGAGCCATCAGTGAAGACCAACCTGCAGGCAACATGCAGGTGCATCAAAACGCAGGTGCATGAACGATAATAAGTAATTGCTGGGGGTTTTTTTCAACACCAAGTTTTGGGGTGGTTTGTTACACAGTAATACCTGATTGATACAAATTAATATAATTGACACATGAGCTCACAGATTCAGACTCACATGATGAGCTGCCTTCTGGGTGCTTCCCCTAGGTGTCCACCAGGCACAGATCATCAACGCGTCAAACCCAACTCAGTACGTCCCTAAACCCACCCCTCCCCCATGTCCCTACGTCAGTGATGGCCCCACAGTCCAGTCAGACTCCCAGGCCAGAAATCTGCCCATCCTCCTGCCCTTCCTCTTGCCTCCTCTGTTCACACACAACCCTCAGGCTCTTCTCACCTCCAGCAGCCCACCCACCAACTCAGCTCTGCTCCCCCATCCCTGTCCTGACCCAGGCCTCTGTCTCTTCCACGGAATCCCTTCCTCATTGCCATCAAACCTTTAGACTGCCTCACTTCCAGCCATTCTGGACCAGGAACCCGCAGTTGTCTTTCCAAACACGAACCTGACCTTGGAAGTGTCCGCACTGCCTTCAGGAAAGCATTAGCCTCCAGGCATTCAGGTTCCCTGTGATCTTGGCGTTGGCCTCGCCCCACAGCCCATCTGTCTCTCTTGTGCTTCAGCCACAGCAGTGCGTGCATTCCCTTGCTTATCTCCAAGCCTCTGCACACGCTGTCCCTTCCTCCTGGCATGCCTTCCACTTCCACTCCCCTTCACCTGGCTGAGTCCTTCCCATTCTTCAAGAGTCAGGTCACCCCTCATCTCTCCCATGGGATTCCCCCAGACTTCCCTCCCCCACACCCCCTGGGGCAGGCATCCCCTTTCCTGGGCTTCTGTGGCACCCCTATCATAGCAGTTCCCATGCTGATTGCCATCTCCCTCCAAGACTCTGGGCTCCCTGAGGACGGGGCTGGTAAACAGAATAGTGGCCCCAAAGATGCCTGTGTCCTAAGCTCCATTACCTGTCAGTCTGTTTCCCCATAAGGCAAAGATGGAATAAGCATGACAAATCAGCCCTCTTAAGATAGGGAGAATATATCCTGGATTAGCCAGTGGGTCCCATGCAATCCCATGGGGTCTCCAAAGGGTGAGAGGGTGCAGAAGAAGTGAAAGTTGGGGAGAAATGTGACATGGGAAGAAGGATCTGAGAGACGCCATGTTGCTAACTGTGAAAATGGAGGAAGAGCCCAGGAACACGGGCTGCTCCTAGCTGCTGGAAAAGGCAAGCAGGTTCTCCTCTAGAGTCTCCTAAAAAGAGTGCAGCCTGCCAACACCTTGATTTGAGCCCAGTGAGACCCATGTTGGACTTCCGATCTATAGGATCTATAGAACTGTACGTTGCTTTAAGCTACAAAGTCTGGGACCATTTGTTTTAATAGTGCCTGAAACTGTCACAGTGAGGGGGGCATTGATGACTCCTCTTCCAAGGGTCTCCCATTCCTGGCACAGGGCCTGGGTAAAAATAGGTACTCAGTAAATGCCATGGAAAGACAAACAAAATGTCCCTCTCTGAACCACAGGTTTTTCCATCTGTAAAACCATTTGGATAAGACCAGAGGTTTCCAGTCTGGTAGGGTAATAGAACCCATGGGTTATGATTTTCAACTCTTAAAATGCCTGATGGAAGCCATTCTGGTTGGCCCGGACTGCTCACAAGCTCCGGGGCCATCTGTCACTGAGACATGTAAAGCAAGATGAGAATAAACTAGAATCCAGCATAAAGACAGTTTATTTGGGGCAGAAAAATCATTTTTACAAATGAGGTCCCTTCAGACAGGGAAATAAAATCCAGGATTGGAGGAGGAAGAATATGGGACTTCTCCATTCCAGCAAGAGGCCAGGGCCAGGAGGCTATAACACAGGGGCCGCTAGCCCATGGTCATTGGGCCAATGTCAGGGTCGCCACTCTGCCCTCACACCCACACAGCACTGAGCACAGGGTACGGTCTCCATCACTATTTGTGGGAGGAATGAATATATGTCTACAGCCCCCATTCTGAAGGAAGGAGGGTCTTGCCACTGACACAGCATCAATGCAGTGGGGGTGACCTATCACAGGTTCTTGACATCAAAAGTGAACATGGCCAGAAGGGCTATTTTCCCATTGAGGTGCCGGGCAAGGTCGGGGTGGGGGAAGGGGTGTCTTCGAGTTGGCAGAACAGAAAAAGCCTCATCTGGCTTGACGACTTCTTCTAATGCTCTTCCCCTCCAAAGCAAGGCTAAACCCCTAGAGTTACCCCTCACCCATGCAATCCTGAGGACAGCAATGGGAACAGGGACCCTGAGTTAGAGGACGCCGGCTGACATCTGTGAACATGTGGACACACTAAGAAGCCAGCACTCCTCCCTTGCCCCATGCCCTCCCCACTCCACCCAGCCTCTCCTAGGGCACTCACTTTCCCATATTCCACGCCACTCTGCCACCTCGAGCAGGCGCCTTCCCTCTCTGGGCCTTTCCTTGTGTGCACATTGAGCTGGGCTAGGTTTGTTTCATTTTGGTTTTGGAAGTTTAATCATTCACTCACGTCTTCATGAATTTTAGCATATCCAAGTACCATCTGTACTATTAGCGCTGACCGCTTTCCCCCCCACCCCAAGTCACTCACCAAAAATACTTACATAATTGTATTTTCAAACAGAGACTTTATGCCCCCAGACGGGTTAGGAGAAGGCAGCCAGACTGCCCAAGTTCAAATCCTGCTCTTGCCACTTTCTGCTTAGGTGACTTGGCAAGTTGCTTAGCTTAGCTCTGTCTGCCTCAGTTTCCTTACTAGGGAAAGCTGGGGCTCATAATTGTATGTGCCTTAAATGGTTGAGCAAGACCGAATGACATAAGACATGGAGGGTCTCTGCACAGGACTAGCTCTTAGTTGGTGCTCATTCAGCAAGACCCATCACTGCTATATGCTTGTGGCCATTACTTTAGTTCTCACTATGTTACTGCTTTATGGGGAAAACTGGCATCAGCTGGCATAAATGGAATGGAACTTCAAAAATAAACTGTTGATGCATTGGGTGGTTTTGTATTATTTTATTAATATAAACATATTTATATCTATCATATATATTTATTATTATAGCCAGAGGGTAGACCTTACATTAGTATATATTACCATAAATAATGTAATATTTAACTATATAATAAATACACACTTATTATATAAAATATATTTCATTTTCACTGTTCTAGTTCTATAAAAATAAACTTTTTTTTTTTTTTAAAGAAAAAGGAAGCAATAAGAACAAATATATTTTCTAAATTAGGTTCTAGGACATCTGGTCACCTCCTGAAGGCTCATCAGGTTTCTCTTCCTTTCTTTCAAAGCAAGCTTGCCACACATTAGAAAGGTAGCGAAGACATCTTATCGTGAGAGGTGGGTTTTCTCTGGGGGTCCTCAGAATATCAGAGGGAAACTCAAAGGGCCTGAGTCTACCAGCACATGACTCCTGTTATTTAGGTCCACTCTGTGACAGCCTGTGTCCCAACTGTGGTCTGCATGTCAACCTCGGGGCAACAGTGAGCTCAACCATCTCTGCCTTGATGTGCCTCAGTCTCCCCATCTGTAAACGGGGATTCTGGAGCCTATCCTATGTTGCTCAGATGATTCTTCTGGAAAAGCAGGGAGATGATGGATGCAGGGGTCCTGAGAAAAGAAAAAGGTGTTGTTGCCTTTTTTTTTTTAATCTTTTTTTTTTCTTTATTCCTCCTGTCAGATGAAGCTAGAGTCCCAGCCTCTGTGTGAAGCCATGTCCCCCTCCTGACCCCTTCCTGAACCCCACTGCTGTCACCCGAAGAATAACAACAACTTCCAGGCACCTGCTGTGCACGGGGCCCTGTGCTCACTCACATTCTCTTGCTTAGCCACACAAAGGTCCTGGGGCGGAGAAGGAACGTCCTGCTCTGCAGATAAAGAAGAGGAAGCAGATCTTGTCCAAGATCGAGGAGAGGAGGGGAAAGACAGCCAGGATCCAACCCTATCTTGGCCAGTCAGGCCCGCCCTCTTCCCCTGCCCCCTGGTGCGTTGCCCGCCATGGGGCCCACAGCAGCCACCAGCCTTCAGGGTGGCCTTCCCAGCTGCCTGTCCTGCAGTGTTTCAAGCTGTTTACTTCTCGCAGACTAAAGCTCACAGATGGGATGCCTTTGGCTCTCACAAATGGGCTCACTGGCTGCACACTCTAACGATTTAAGGGGCGGCCAGTAAAAAAACAAGAATGTTCCAAGTTAATGGGACTCCAAGCTCTTGGTCAGAGCATTACCTGCTATGGGCCTGAACCCCAGGGGTTCATAAGCTGTCCAAATATGGGCGTAAGCACACAGTGTGGAGCCCGTAGGAAGGAAAGCTGGCCCCTCTCCACTCAAAACCAATCAGGCAGCCCAGCCTGGGCCCTCAGGAACCCAAATACTGCTGGTCAGACACGGGCCCCTCAAAATGATTTCCGTGAAACTTAATCGATGTGTTTCCATTCCTCCCCAGTGAGCGCAGCCAGGCTGGGCCTTTAACTGTTCCTCACCAGGAAACAGCGAGAAGTT